TGACGGAGTTACATGCAACATAAAATCCAGATTCATATCATTATTTAGACCCCTCATCCAACCGGTATAATCGCTCGGTAATTCGTCTGGACTATGAAAATAAATCTGAAGCGTAGAAATATTGAAATAGAGTAGGGGAAAAAAATAGAAAATCGATCCAAACAAAATTGCTGTCTCACAAAAAATGAGTATCCTCTTTTGTTCATCAGGTCAAAATAAAATTGGCTGCCTCCTTGATATTTATTGTAAGCTAATGGTAATCTGTCCCAATTGGAATTACTGGAAGTGTAGAGAATAGAATGGACATTTTTTGCCTAGGAGCTATCATAAATTTGTTTTCCATGTTTACTAGAAAAAAGCAGAGTTGACCATGAAACACACGCCCGCATTGTGAACTATCTGTCGCTTGAATAGATCGCCACAATCGTGATAACGTTTGCCATTGAATTGAATATTGTAGAACAGTTCATTGCAATACGGGAATAACTAAAAAAGATTAATTGATTAAAATCATTCGGAATAGATGGAACTATCATGATAGAGAGTGAATGCAAACCAGTTGCTTTAGAGCTTCGATATCCATGCCACAAGTACTGTTGGTTGCTTGGCATGCATAATATCCGTTGCCAAGACCTGAATGACCTGCATAGGCGTAGCGTATAAGTTGATTGTAGTAGTCTTTGCTGAAAATATATCAAAAGATAGTTTTTCTATTCGATGATAAAATCAGCAATCGACCTACTCTTGTGGCTCTTTGATGTTGTGTTCTGCGTAATATTTTCTCACAAATTGTTCGATCCTCTCGGTACTTACTCTTCTACGTTCATGGTCATATCTCTGAATACAAACAGACACAGCTGGGAAAACACTGTTCTCTTTTGAGATAATTGGATTTACGTTGATAACAATCGGATCATCCGCGTAGTCATTCAATGTGTACACAAATACGACAGTCATTGCAATGACAGATCCAATCATAACGCAAACCCAATAAGTGCTGCAATTACAAAAAGAAAACTCAAGTCCACTATAACTGTGTCGACAATAACTCAAACTATTCAAGTTCCATTTACCGATCAATCAGTCCATATCGACGATCCAAATATTGAACACCATGTAGACCACTGTTGTTTACAAAGTGATAGAATCGGTTTGTGAATCTAGTTATCATGATCATATACCGAGTAGAACTGCTTGACGATCTTTTGCAATTAGCAATCATTTTGAATCGAAAGAGTTTTAGAGCGCATAGCTTTCTCTTACAAAAAAGCTTTTGATACAAAGGTTCTGTGGCAAAATAAATGAATTCAGCGATGCTTATGAAACTGAATCCAAGAAATAG